CCCCCCCAGTAAAGCCATTTCTGCCCCCGAAGTGTGAAGCAGAATTGCTCATGATTGCTGTCAGAATTGCAGTTGATTTACTTGATAATGAGATTATGCCCATCCATAGCCTCCTCCACAGCCATCTTGTGTGTAATTCATATTGTTCTTCACCGAGTATTTCATAATAGCGATAGATTTCATGCAAACAATCCGATAAAATGCTGGTTCCAAGAAGAATAGATTTAGTTTAGATTTTTAACTGTTAAATACATGTATGCATCATCATAGCATGAATATTTCTTCTCAGACTTATTCTGTATCGTATGAAAAAGCAACGCAATTTTGAGAATGCGGAAATGGTGTCTCATAGAACCTAAAATGATTTAAATGCAACATTTCTGATCAAAATCACATTGGGATCCCCCCCCCGGCATCACAGAGAGGAAATAAGGTGACACTGACCCCTACTCCTATTTTTCAAGGTGACTTTTCCAATTTATTTAATTCCGAGTAGAAATGTCTGGAAATATTCTTGTCTTCGATGTACTTTATAATCTTCGGAATTCTGCAAGATTTAACCCCCAAAATCATGCATGAAATCGCAATTCAGGGACCCTAGATTTCATAATTTTCCGGACCCCGGACCCTCCTAGACGGTCTCACAGGTTCGCCCCCGCAAAATTAAGGGTTGGCTACGCCACTGGTTATAGCTGTACGATTATAGCTACAAAGAGTTGAAGTTATTGTTTATATAGGTGAAGTTAATAAATTAAAGTTTTACAAAATCTCTCTTCAGACTCGCGCTTTGGCCAAACCTCGACGGCTCATACTTTTCGTTCTGCCTTTTTTTTCTGTTTTGCCACCACAGTGAAAATTCCTTGAAAAAGGCACTGCAGTCCTTATTGGGATATTTTGGTCTAATTTTCACATTTAAAACAGCAATAACTCAAAGACTATTTGAAAAATAAAAAAACTGTTTAAAAGCCTTATATGCGGTTTTTTGTACGTTTTCCGATGATGCAAGTCATTTTTATTGTAATTGAATACAAAATTCTCCATTTTTTTGCTGTAATACAATTTAATAGAGGATAATCATTGATCACCCATTTTCTCGGGATTGGGCAACTTTTTTGCTTGGGAAATTGGTAGTGATTTACCTAATTGGTAGTGAAAATTTTTGGTAGTGATGTACCTATATGCCTTTCAAATAAACCCCAAACCAAGTATTTCCCACACGGGTGCCACGAAGCGAAATAATTTTGGCCAACAGCCCACGGCCTAACACGCTTAAAGAGCTTTGTTTTTTAATGTTATGCCACATTCATTCAGTCTGACCACATTCATAAATATCACGCACTTGTCTATTTCAAAAATATTCGATATCTTTTTTCAGAAAAAAATGGCATTGCTCTTTGACAATGACAATGTGTAAATCTGATATAGATTTATAAGTATAAAATGTGTTTGGACATGTAATAATTGATAGAATGTACACAACTTATATGTAATTTTAAAGTATGCTTATATAAAGTATAGGCCTATGGCGTCATGACTAACAGCAAAACACACAGCAATCCAATCGCTAACGCATGACAGAAATATCCCTTTTCAACAAACTTGTCAGAAAATTTAAAAAACAAAATTGGCGTTTGGTTATAGGAATTTTAAATATGTTTTATAAATATCTTCTTGTCGGACATTTCAAAGGTGTCGGTATGTAAAAAAGAACATATCATAAACTGTAGAATCGACTAACTCATCTGTATTTAACCAATTACACTTGAAGTACTAGATATTCAACTTGTATACGTTTATGATACACCTGGAAATAAACAAGATCATGCCAATGAAAGGTGGTGAATCGGAACGTATTTCACTAGGGCGCGATTCTCCCTCGCTCTCTTATAGCCAACGTGTCACCTGTCGTGACTTCGATAAAGAGTCAGTGCATGGCTGTCAGACTTTCAAATCCTCGTGGCTCCCGCTTTCTTCTTGCAAAATACTTCGATTCAGAATACGACCAAGTGCACGCGATCTTCACAAGTTTAAAATATATCGCTTCAGAATACGACCAAGTGCGCGCGATATAGACTCTAGAGACAAGTGACATGCATGCATATGTATAGAAACAACGGCAAAATGTCTTGCTTCGTGTTGTTAAAGGATGAAACTGGATGTGTGTGCTTACTAACTGCAATCAAGATGTCTCGGCTCATCTGAGGCGGTGTCAGGCATTTGTCTAAAGACAGTCTTTCAGAGTGCGATTTATTTATTTATTTACTAGCTTTGTCATAAATGACTGGTGATCCCTACAGGGCTTATTGCCCTATTCACAGGGTCCCTTAAACTAAACATTTACATCAATTACAACACATTTTATCTACAAGGCTCGGCAAAGGACGACACGAGTGACATTTAACACAGACAGTTTTAAACGATTGTGGTACATTAATGTCATATATAAGTTCAGTCATTTCGTGATAATAATTCAACAAGTATGATTTGAATTGGCCAATTGTGACGTCAGCGTCACGGATATAAGATGGCAAGCAATTATATGTTCTAGGAGCTCTATTAAAATAGCTATTTTGAATGATTTTGCTGCGGGCTGAGTTTCTGAATGTGGCGACTTCACAACTGGAAAACATGCTTGCGTGCTCGAGATATCGAGGCAATATTGGAGTTTACTGGAGAGGAATGATTGCTTGTGTCGACAATTTTTTAAAATATAATCCCTTGCACGAATTATTTTATTTCAACTTTTACTGTAATTTACAACGGCTTCTCCAGAACGTAAACATAATAGTGGTTGAAATAAAAAACTTTCGAGAAATGATATTATTGTATTTTTAATACAAACATTTAATAATGCAAGGAAAACATAAAACAGTTTAATTAACCGTTGTTCAGGATGGTCAGTTCATTTGTATGGGCTTCATGAACTGATCAACATTTTTCGCAGCACTTTAAGATTTCAATTGGCAATGTAGCAGAGAACTGGAGAATCAAAGCAGGAACATATAAATTCCGGCTTATAATTCAGTTTCCCTATTGAAAACATAACCGGCTCGGATTCCGAAGACGAAGTCCGCAGTTTTGGGACATGCCGACGAAGTCCCTCGTTCTATCTGTATGTGAAAAAGTTTTGCGCATGCGCTGTTGATTTTACAATAATTTTGTTATTACGAATCCGGATCCTAATCCTACTATTCCGATTGTAATATGCTGGTACTCTTCCATTTCGTTTGATGGTATGTAGTAAGCATGTATTGCCGTTCCTTTGTCCATGGTCAGTCTTCTTGCGCTTGTCTTAGGGAATCCAGAGCACGGTTTGTGGCTTCCATATCTGTTTTGGCGTCAGCTAGTTCCTGTCTGAGTATTGCTATTCTGTTCTTTTTTTCTACTTGTCTTTCGTACCATTTTTCTTTGGCTCTGGATAACTTTTCCATCGCTTTGTTGTGTCTTTTCATTTCTTCTTCGTATCCACCGCGGTTTAGTTTGCTGAACAGGAATCCGGCTCTGGCGAATGCATCTGCGTTAAATAATTCTCCAACTACAACACTTACCATCTTTTATTTTTGTGAAACTGTTTACTGGAATGGATCATCTGGCACTATTTTCTTGGTTTGTAAATAGTGAACGCCGAGCGCACCGACTCCAACGGCTACTGCTAGTTTCAGAATTCCTTTCGAACCATACTGGGTACTCCCAGACTGTCACTTGCAAACGTTTTGCTTACCACGGATACAGCGACTGCACCAAGGGTGATAAGTCCGGCATCGTAAGTTTCGTTCATTAAATCTTTTCTGTCTCCCATTTTTATTATATATGAAAAAAAATTTACTTTTTTCTTTTTCCGTATTCGTTGTATAAGAAGTACGTTAATGCTAAAGCTAGAATCCTGACATTTTTCGCAACAGAAACGCAACACCTTTTGCTCCCCATGCCAGGACTTTGGCAATTAGGTTTAGTACGGATGCTAATACGGCCTACGGGTCCTACCTTTCTGGCTAAGTTTGCCACTGCTTTTGCGAATTTACTTGTTGCTCTTGCCCCTCTTTTCGCTACGCTTCTAGCTCTCATAACGATCATGGCAATGATACCCGCCACAGATATTGCTACGACTGATATTCCGGTAATTTTTTCTTTTGCCCATTTTTTAAATCTTTCGAACCTTGTGAGATCGTTTGCGTTTACTTCCTCTTCCACGATGGACGTAGTTTTTGATCCTGTGGGTCGTTCGTTTGATCTTAACCTTATTTCGTCCCCTTTTAACCCTGCCATGTTAGCCATTGCTTCGTAAAAGAGAGCTTTTTGTTCACGCCCTGCGGTTCGCTCAGTTTCAGCTAATTCTTTCCAATGATCTATTTCAAGAAAGTTATTTTTTTCCTCACCTGAGTTTCCTTTTACGTTTAGGATACCTCTTTATTCTCTTAGTTCATTTTCTGTTATAACTACGCTACTACTGATAGCCTCACTTTGGTTGGATAATTCATCATCCATTCTTTCAATGGTATTTGTTAGTACATCATCCACAAGTTCTCGAGGAGCGTTTAAGTTTTGCTGTTCGAGTTGTTCTTCTACTGAGGCTGCGGACGTTTTCGAATGTTCTACCTTAGCTTTTCTTATTAGTTCTTTGTATTCGTTCACAGCGGACTCCTTACTTTTGTATGTGGGGTATTCCATTTTTCCATTCTTTAAAATAATGATCTTAAAATCTTTGAATGTAGCACCTTTAATTTTCGTTCCAGCCTTATTTACGGTTAGCTTCATTTTGTCAAAGATTATTGTGGAAGATAGTCCGTCTCCTGTTAATGTTTACTCCGAGTTCTCTTTTAAGAAAATCTTTTTGTCTAACGTGTAGGACCGTTTTACTACTCCAGCATACTGTCTAGGGTTTGGTATGGAACCGTCAGGTCTTGAGCTTCCGGCACTGGATTAGATGTATCAATAATTAATATACTTTCATCTTGTTTTTTATTGTCGTCATTGAAACTTGTCTCTTCTTCTCCTTCTGCTTCGGCTACGGCTTCAGCTTCGCGGTCGTCAACGCGGTTTGTTTCGTCTAGTTCAATGTCAGCCATTTATTTTATAGTTTTAATATTTTTTCTGGAATCCAATAATTATGTTTATTATCGTATCCTAACCATTTAACCAATACCATACCTTTCCTTCTTTTTAAAATTTTCTCTACTCTGTACACATCATCCTTTTTGTTCACGACAGATAGTTCCTCTTCGTAAAACTTTCCGATAATTGGTTTTCCATCGTGACTTTCGATTTCATCCATGTTAGGATCTCCTCTTAATACTTTTACAATTTTGAATATCTCTTCCGTAAAGTTTGCTTCATATCCCTTGCTAAAGATATTTTTGTACTTCGTTATTCTGACAGTATCATCAATTCTGAACTTAGGTAACGGAAGTTCTCCTAATCCATAACCGTATAGTGTAATCCATACTTGGTCTTTGTTTGACTTGTTTACATCAGCGGGTCTCATTAGTATACTGCTGTGTTTGGCGTGGTTATAACTGTCCGTAAGTTCGTCTAGGATGTCAACCCAATTGTAAGTTCCTTTGATGTAAAAATACTCTACATCATTGTTTCAAAGTTCTGTTAAATCTTTCAACAATAGCTGTTTTTCTGTCAGAGTTTGAGGAAAAATAACGAACGTCATGTCTTTCCAAAAGGTTCATCTTAACACCGACGTTGTAGAACTCCTTTCCTTCATCGAACTGAGCAACTTCTGAGTATTTCCCAAACCTTTTCTTGAATTCCTCTAATAATAAGTCCACAGCCTTTGTCATGTTCTTCGTATCTTTTCTGTAGACAGGTATAGCAAATCCGTAATGACTCAGGATCTCATCGGCTGTTCAAGTATCCAGTAATATCCCTTATTCTAGTCTTTGTATTTTCCCATATCCACTTTCCCTTTTCCTAAAAGAGATCGCAGTGCATTCTGGAATCGTTTGGAGGGACAAAATATATGGCGATAGGCGTCAAATATGTGAAAGAGTCGAAGTATCTACTATCAAAATCAACTTTTTAGACGACGAAAAATGAAATATCTCCTTTTTACATTAAACATTTAATTTAAATGTCTGCTGCCATATTTCTTGGCCCTCCAACATGGGATTTGAGCGACTAGACCCAGGACTTTAGGAAATCGCTAATAGGTTTGTATCTTGTGTAAGTGTCTTGGGTTTTCAACCAGTCCTTCACAGTTCTTCTGCTAACGTAGCCCTTCCTCCTTCGCTTTTTGGTAGAGCTTCTCCATGGATTGATAACCGGTACTTGGATTATAGTAAATATCTCTTAACTCTTGTTCGATAATGAAGCGTTTGTCTTTCATTTATTTATGTGATGTAAAACTCGAGGAGTGCGGACATATCAACCCTATTACTGATATTCGTATTCATATCAAAAGAGAATTTGTTATAACACCCGTTATTGATTGAAACCTTACTTTCAATGTCTTAGAAGAACGTTGTTGTTCCATTTAGGTGTTGACCTGATGTTATGGTTAGCATGGACACCGTAGAACTTCTTTTACCATTCACATCGTGATGGTCACATTAGTGATGTATTAACAACATCACAATTAATAGTAATGTATCTGAGACCGTGATTAGTATCCGCCGTATAGGGAGAGGTTTCTCACACTCCAGAGGCCGGTTAAAACTTCAGTCTCTGGAAATCCTATCAGTGGTGCAAATTTGTTTAGATGTAAGTCTGCCTTTGTTGGATGAATTTTGCAGGTATTGTCATGCGCGTTTCGTTCTAATACTATCCCATTTGTTTTCAGTTTTGCCTTTATCATGTCAAAGGTCCGGCCAGTAGCCTTCATCAAAGATGATCTTCTTCTGTAGTTTTCATTTTAATAGAGCATACATGATACATTAAGTCATTAACAAATGTGGCTACAGTATTTACCTTAGCAATTTTGTACCCATTTCATATTTAGTTCTTATTCTCTCTGTTTTCATTATAAAAAATGGTGACTTTCTGATAGTTGATTGTAGTAGAGAAGAAGACTGCAATCTGAACATTCTTTGTCATATCATACAAAGTGACAGTACAGTCGGGTATATAGTAAATTTTCGGCTATATAGTGACTATAGTTAAATATAAAAATATTTGTTTGCGCTAGCTTTTACCGAGCTTGCCCATAAGCAATAAAAGTATACAGATTTTTCTACAGTATGCATCGTATTGGAACAAAATTCTGAAACAATCACTAGGAATATTTGAAGTTTAAATAATCCAGTTTGAGTATGAATTATGATTATATAATCACGGAACAAATCTTGCATTTGTGATTTAAACAAACCAAATTTGGCAAGTTCTTTAATGGAAACCATTTCTGTAAGCTTTTATAATGTTTATTTTTTTATGAAGCGTCGATAGTAAGTTCCATTTCACTGATTTACCAGTAGAGATGGCGATGTTCGTTGTAAAGGTACCAATAATGAGGAACAATCCATATACGTTAGTCTTGTCCTCGAAGAATTAACAGTCGTATTTCAAGGAACTTGTGAAATCGCCATAAAATCCACTTTAATAGCAATATTAATTGAATAGCGTACAAATTCACGAACAATTTATAGCGTCCATTCCGGCCCGCGTTATTAGAATAGTGGAGACGCCACAATGAAGTTAGTGATGAAATCAATTTGAAATATTGAGCATCAGCATTGCATTGTAATCATATCATCATTTCAATTAATAGTCGAATATATTTCGTTGTATAAAGTGATGTGTTGAACATTTTTCTACAAAATAAAGAAATGAAGAATTATATAAGAAAAGTGAGGTTCCAAGTCTTAGTTGAATATAAAAATACTTAGCTGAGACTTTATAACTATACAGTGTGTCAGTATATAAACATATGTAATTGGATTTGCCTCAAGAGCTACGCCATTCCCTTTCTCAGCGGTTTAGCACCTTAGCATTCCATTATCATCTAGCGCACCACATTGTTATTATCATTACAAAAGCTCTCTTGTGTTGTATTGACTTCTCATCTGTAAACTCAGTTTATTCCTTATTATTGGCGTGGTGGCAGCGGTTCACAACGTATTCACGTCACGAAGACTAGGACATTTACCTCTCGTAAAGTGAGAAGGCCAAATTTCCGCAGGTGAGCAACCATAAACCGTTTATATCTCGTATTTTATCTTTCGTCAAAATGGCGGCTCGAGCGCCTAAACAGTGGCAATTATCCAAGAACGAAACCATAACTTCTTACGAAAGCTGGAGACAGAACTTAATATATATCCTATCCCTCGACAGCAATTTTGTATCCTTTCTTGAAGCCACATGGCAAAAGAAGACCTCTACTAATCCCCACCGAGGCTTGGTCGATGATGCAGACCCCATTCCTGAACCTAGACGGTTAACCGCCGTTCAAAAGAACGCTCGTTTAGATTTATTGCTTGGTCAAATTGCCAATTTTTGCCCTGTCGTTTCACGCAGTTCCATCGTTAAGAATTCAGTCTCTCTTAATGATATTTGGCAGAAAATCCGCCAGCACTATGGTTTCCAGTCCACCGGGGCTCACTTCCTCGACCTAGCCACTATTATCCGGCAACCCGACGAGCGACCAGAAGACTTATACCAACGCCTCATGGCATTCTTTGAAGATAACTTACTAACTGCTGGTGGGGGCATCACCCATCATGGAGAGGCGTTGGAAGCTGACGAAGATTTAACCCCCACCCTGGAAAACACCATCGTCGTTCTGTGGCTTCAACTAATACACCCAGGACTACCCTTGTTGGTGAAGCAAAAATATGGATCTGAGCTGCGGAACAAATCCCTGGCCTCGTTAAAACCAGAAATATCCCAGGCACTCTCTTCCCTCCTTGATGAGCTACGATTAATCGATGAGACTCGGACAATGCGCATTGGCAGTACAAACCCACGACGAAACCCTACCAGTGCCTCAGACAACCCACGACGTAAAGCATTCCGGTCATGTATTCTATGCAAGACCGCTGGTCGCCCGCATACAACCCATGACCTCATGGATTGTCGCTATTTACCAGAGCGAGACAGGCGACCATGGGCTCGTTCACGACTTTTGAAGGACGACTATGATGATCTGCACCCTGAAGACTGCGATACCTTTGACCTTAGTCACGAGGGTGTTGCTAACGCTGTGCTGGTCGATGACTCTACTGCCCATCGTGTGAGTATCGTTCAGTCCCCTGTCCTCCGCACCTTTTACAATGAGCACCCCATCCAGTTGACCTTAGACACTGGTGCAACATCCAACATGGTTCGAGCCTCATCGGCCACAGCTTACGGATTTCCTGTATCCCCTGCTTCTCAGATGGCTCGCCAGGCTGATGGTGTTACCCCAATGGATGTGGTTGGTGAAGTCCATTGCTCACTCATCCGAGGTTCGTCCACATTTGAACTCGATGCCCTAGTTGTTCGCCAACTTGATGTTGACATTTTGGCTGGCAATCCTTTCTTGTCCAAAAATGACATTGCTATTCGCCCTGCAAAGCGCGAAATTTTAATTGGTGGTACAGATGTTGTGCATTACGGCCAACCAGCGAAGTCGATCCCCCATTCCGCTGCTAGACGCACGCAGTCCTTCCTTCTCCGCAGCCCACAGCACATGGTTGTCTTACCCGGTGACTATCTCCAGCTCACTACACCTCTGGAGTCTGATCCCGATGCTTTGTGGGCCTTGGAACCTAGACTCGATAGCCCCTCTAACCTTTCTCAGAAGCTGGAAGCCGCATGGCCTCAGCCACAGGCCATTGTTTCCGTAGATCATACCTTGCGTATTCCCAACACAACCTCTTCTCCGATTCTCATAAAGAAAGGTGAACAGTTATGCCAAGTTCGGCATATCATACCTCCCTTCCCCACCGACCCATGTGCCTCGCCTTCCAGCACCTGTCGTACTGTGATTTGCCCTCCTGTCCACAGCAAGCCGTTTTCTAGCACAGTAGTTCTTGATCCAGATTCCCCTCTTCCACCCCACATCCGTGACCAGTTCAGGGATCTTCATCTCGAGTATGACGATGTGTTCAACCCCACCATCTCCAAGTACAATGGTGCTAGTGGCAAGATTGAAGTCGTTGTCAATATGGGCCCAACCCTTCCTCCTCAACGGAAGGGTCGCCTACCACAGTACAACCGAAGTACTATGGAGGCGTTACAAGCTAAGTTCGACGAGCTTGAAGCCTCGCCAAACCTGAACAGGTTAACGTTCATGTTGAATACCTGAACACTTCTTTCCTTGTCAAGAAGCCAAATGGTGGAAGTCGTCTCGTAACATCCTTCGGTGCGGTTGCCCAGTACAGTAAACCACAGCCCTCACTCATGCCGAATGTTGACAGTGTTTTACGCGCCATAGGACAATGGCAATACGTCATTATCACTGACTTGTTAAAGTCTTTTTATCAAATCCCCTTGGCTGCTTCGTCCATGAAGTATTGTGGAGTCGCCACTCCATATAAAGGTATCCGTGTCTACACCCGATCTGCCATGGGTATGCCTGGCTCCGAGACCTGTTTGGAGGAGTTAATGTCCAGGGTCTTAGGTGACCTCATTCAGGAGGGCTGTGTTGCTAAAATCGCCGACGACCTGTATATTGATGGAAATACGCCTAGTGAGGTACTCCACCACTGGCGCCGTGTGCTCTCCCTACTGAAGAAGAACAACCTTTGCTTATCAGCCTCCAAAACCATCATCTGCCCACAGAAAGCTGTTGTGTTAGGCTGGACCTGGTCCAAAGGCACCTTGCAGGCTAGCCCACACAAGCTTGCTGCCTTATCCTCTGTTGCTCCGCCCTCTACAGTACAAGGCTTACGATCCTTTATTGGCTCATACAAGGTACTCAGCCGAGTACTCCCAAAGTATGCCGAGCTGCTCGACCCTCTCGATCAGGCTACCGCCGGCAAGGAGTCTCGGGAGCGAATCCGTTGGTCTGACGAATTACTGCTAGCATTTAAGACTGCACAACAAGCCCTAGAGAATCACAAAACTATCTCACTTCCTCAGTCTGATGATGCGCTCTGGATTGTTACAGACGGTTCCGTAAAGAACAGGGGCATAGCAGCCACCCTCTATATTCAACGCGACGGAAAGCTCCTATTAGCTGGTTTCTTCAACGCCAAGTTGCGTAAACATCAAGTGTCTTCGTCTTCACGCCGGGTCAGCTCTTCCCAAAAATCGGCCATCTGATATAAACTTTTTCAATATATTTCGGATGGACATGAAACTTGCTACATCAATATAACTTTCCATTCCGAACAATCGTATGTTTTTTATTTTTGAGATTTAACGGTTTTTGGCGGGAAAATGACGTCACAAAACCTCCAGTTAAAATTTATTTTCAATATCTTAATAGTTTTTAAGCAGAATGTGGAAGATCATGTCATGAAGAGTTCAAAACTGAAAAGAGATTTTAAATATCTTAATCTAATCACGAGATACAGGGA